TATCATCGAACAAATTCATTTATAGCTGAGATCACCGCATTAGTGCTACGCTGTGCCATTTACTGCTGTCGTATAGAATCGTTAGTGTGCGACTCGTTGTTGCCAATTATAATCATTTATGGTCACGGGGCGGCTTCAGCCTATTAGGCCACTGATAATAGTGGCCTATCGGTAAACCGGTGGGGTCCAATAAGAATGATAATTAAAAGAGAACATTGGCCGGCACTGTAACTCGCGAAACCTTTGTCAACACCAGCTGACGACAGCTAATCTCCAAGCTAAAACAACATAAATTGCGTTAAGGGCCTTCGCTGCTGAGCACGTTAGCCTTTGGTAAGGTTTGGCGTCGACCTCGGAGTCGACCACTACCGCCACTCGAAGGCCGGTGGTAAAGATGCTTGCTTTTGCTAAGCACCATTGCTAAAACTCTACAAAGAACGTGTTCAACAACGCCATGAGGATACTTGCGCAAATCTAGCATGCGCTAAGGGGATTATGCAAGACCAGATCAAAGTCAAGGGTAGCCCACTGAAGGCGAGCTAAGGCCGCTGCCATAAAATTGAGAACGGTCCTGTTGTTGTGTAAGTTATAATAGGTGCCGGCGTCCTGATTCGTGCGGTCCATAATCGTTTCACGCTAAGCGACGTACTACAATAAATAGTAACCGATTAGAAAACCCGATTCAGTATTAATTTCAGAAAATAGCCAGTGATGTAACCAGCGCAATATGGAGTTGTTCGCACCCTTTGAGATAATCTATCCTGGTGAAAATTCTCCTACCGACAAAATTCAAGCTCAGTACGTATTGCCTGTAATATTATTAATGAACTACAAAGTTGACAAATAACGCTAAAGCATCCATATTTATTTAAGATGCACGTGTGGCCTTCCATACGAGGACGTCGAGGTCGAAACAGTAGCTGGGGCAAAAAAAGATTTGAAAGGAAACATTTGTAAGTTGAAGTGTACGCAAAAAAATAATGCCATTAGCATATCCGAGCACGTTACAGATAAGTAATAACACTCAGAGCGAATACGTAAACGTGACACCCGCACACAATCAGTGGCCTCTTTATCCCAATTGTAAATTTTTACTACTATAAAAAAACAGAGCGATCCACACTAACCGGTGATTTATTTAAGTGGCTCGTAATAAACGTTACCGTCGAAAAATAGGTATTATTATGGGGCTAATTCATACTAATCGCGCCTCTAAAATTTCCACTATATAGAATTGGATTCGTTAAATAAAAGACGTATCAGATACGCAAGATTGAAGCGATTATCGATCGAGGCTGTAGCGACTGCCGTTATAATATAAACGTTTGTGCTCTTTTAGTATATACGTCGTAATTCGTATGTTTAATTCGGTCAAATGCGTATCCATATATTTCGAATAAAGAGATCCTTCTTAAGAACTATCCATTGTTGGATTTGGACAAATGTTTGGACATAAAACAGGACAAGCCGAATGAACTCTCAGATATAAGTCAGCGTATGATAAATGAATAAAGAAGCACATAGGAAGATTTAATTTAACAAAGCCATGTACTAGAAGATCGTTAAACAAGTTCAGAGGTAAAAAATCGTGGGCAGACATCTTTTACGCACAGACAAAGAGTATTCAAAGCACCATCATATATGACTTTTCATTAGTCATAATAGTTACAAGAATTAGTTTCAGGCGTGTTTCTTACCCTTTGCTTCTAAGACTTATCTAAAAAAAAAAAACATACTTCCGACGATCATGACTATTGAAGGGAACTACCATCCACCATGACGGCACCTCCCATTCGATTCTGGATGTAAACCATTAACTAGTCATTCTCAGTATACTGGTTTTTAATCCGCCTAAAAATGTATCGATACTAACCGTGCATTAATATACTTTAAGCAAAAAATTCTAGGGAAATTAAATGTTGGCCTAATAGAAGACTAAAATTCAAACATGTAGGATCCTAAAACGGCTAAGTAATTCAAGTGGCGCAAGAGAGATTAAAAATCAACCGTTAAGGCTTATTTGCATGAGCCAATTGGTGATTCTTACTTTCCCATTTAAAAAGGCCCTGAGTTCCTGTATCAAGAACGAAAGTCAGTTCCTCCTAATGCAGAATAGCAGATCGATATTATCAACCACAGAGACTACAAAATTTTTTTGTCATAAATAGATCGTCTTTTTCGTCATCGTCCGTTTTCGTTTGGTTTTACGATATCAATCTATCTCAATAGAATTAGTATTTATAATACTTGAAAATGAATAAACATCGCTCGAAATGCCATTTTTTGAGAGAACTTGGTTTTTATACAGAAGTTAAGGGCAAGTACCGTATTAATTTCCAATTGGATCATTTAGCTAAGCTCTAATAGATCATTTTTTGAGTATTTTTGAAATTTTTACACCCCTTAAATTCTTAAGTTAGCTGGTAAGCTATCAGACCCAATATTTAATTCCGTTGAATTTTTTTTTGTATGTAGCATATCTTGGCGATTCTTAACAAATTCGGATTGCGTTGCACGATTACTAGTAAAAAGTTACTTGCGAATCACGGATGGAGTATTTTGAGTATAAATAGTTAGTAGTTTATGTCCCAAATCGAAGCTGTAATAGCAGTGGATGATGATCATATAGGTTAAATATAACCACCAGGAACAATACTTCTTGTGCATACAAAAGTTCTAATTTGGGCATTATTCTATATATATATATATATATATAATATATATAGAATGAAAGCTACATATTACGTCGTTGTGAAAAATCAAATTTTATCCAACTAGATAGGCGTAGTTTTTGAGCAAAAAATTGTGACAAGTGATTTTTCATTCCTGTATCGAAATTAACATCATTGAAGGAGGTTTGCAAAATCCGAAGTAGCCTTATATTGCAAGAGCCGGATGATACGGAAGGTATAATAATTTCCCATCTAAATTCTTCCTATTTTTACCGAATAGCTAAAGATGTACATAATTGGGCACTGTTATGGCGGAAGCCAACAACATCTTCCCTATTAACTAATTCCTTTCGTTTTTTTTTTCGTGGCTTGTTGTAGTCTTGCAAATTATTGATGGCAGAAGTCCGAATCAATCGCATATGGGCAAAATTTGGGTCTTTACTATAATAATACAGAAAAATACACACAATTTTATAGAAGGTTCACTGTACCCTAAGACGCTTGAAAGTGTCCAGAATAAAGGTGTTGCGACAAATTGGCGCGTTTACTACCGCCAAACTTCAGATATCAAACGACACTATGTGACTCAGATCATTAACTCTAAAATGACCTATCTGGGAAAACCATTGTCTATGTATGTATAAATATATACGAGTTTGCTACTCATCTGTCCTCCCCAAATGCTCTCTCATATACAGGACTACTTCGTATAACGAAGAGACAAATGAAATACATTAACTCAGTGGGCCTTCCATGAGCTACATTTTTCATTTGTGAGTGCCAATCTACATAGAGGAATTAATGTTGTGTTTGGTGTACATCGAGGTTTGATATGATACGATTGTCTAGTCCACAGACCTACGACACCAATGCACAAGTTAAATTAAAAAACCAAATAGCAAGCCAACGGTTAAGTTTCCTTGCTTGGTTTGTTGGGTAATACATATTTAGCTGCTACCACTTAGCTCGTCCTTACCAACTCGATAGACCAAAACCATTATCACTTTTTATATCCACTAACGACGTCGACAGGAAGACAAATATATCGATCGGATGAAACCTTTTCTGTTCCGGACTGTCTCTTATGCTCCGCGCTCAGAATCCGCGTAAACAAAATGAATACGCTGATCAGTGAGATGGCAATTTATCTTCGAACCCTTCCACAAGGCTTTGCAGGAAAAAACGATATTAGTACGTCATTTAGACTTCCAAAATGATTGCCTGCCTAACTGCCGAGCTGGTCGATACCGACATCATTACAGTTCAATATCTCTATCGATACGTACGTCCAACATGTACGTCTTGATCATAGGTCTACGTCAAAGTAAACTCGAGCCTAAGGTTTCCCAATTATATTACCCAAATTCGCTAACATAATGTTCTATTTATTAACTAGATACGTTTATCGCCTAAGGCCATTCTGAGAAGTAGTCGATTAAAATTTATCGTTCCTGAAAGTAAGAAAAAGCGTAAATACGCTTCACGAATTCACTTAATTATCACTTTATTGCTTAGAAAAAGATTTTCTATGTAACAACGCAGAAACATTTTACCAAGTTACTAGCAGAGTTTTATATCTGCCATATATATCATATATGTATGTATATATATAGAATAGACAGGGTGTTTTTTAATTAGCGCTTTTATTTACACTTCTATTTAATTTACGCTGTATATATACAGCGTAAACGAAGTTCCTGTTACCTACAGAGCTTTGCGCTAATTAAAAAAACACCCTGTCTATTCTATCCACAATTTATCTGACCAGTAAATATTTATGGGTCACATTGATCGTTTTGAAGCCCTAGGCACAACTCATTCTTACAATTGAGACGCAAAACAATTATTTTTCATGGATTTAAATGATTGATGATTAATATATTATGTAGGAAGTTCGCGGTTGGATAAAGCCTCAGATTAGTGCATTATACACAGCCGTATATCAATATTACACGACAATATACTGTGTTTGTATTGACATATGTTATTTTGCGTCTTTGTAGAACGCTTTGTGTAACCGGCTATATAACGTTTTATTACTCGAACTACTAAAAAAAAACTAGAGAAGAGGGTTCCAGAAGATGATGATGGTATTACTTATTGCGGTTTAAAGTTTAAGTTATATTCGTGCTTTGCTAGTAATTACGCGCAAGTAATTCATAGAACTCATTACAAACCCGCATTATTTTCGACCCCGTACTACGTGTGGCTAAGAGAGAATCGCTCGTTTGTGCGTGCAAAATTACTAACGTATATGTTTTTACATTATAAAAACATTATAAAAAAAAAAAACGTTTATAAAAACTTCGTAATTTCCTATACGAAGCATATGATAATGTTATATCGTTTATTCCTTACATAATATACACCATTTGAGATAAGGAACACGGCTTCTGTGTACTAGAGGATTTGAATCTTCCCTCGGCAACAAGAGACCAAAGTCGGGCACAAAGCGGAAGCTGGCTACTAAGCATCTAGTTAGTGACGACATCCAAAAGGCGGAAACACACAGGAAGTTGCCGTAGAAAGTTCTGCATGTAGCGCACTTTTGATGCATTATCTGAATAGAACGTAGTTTAGAGTTTACGTTAAGCTTACATGTTGGCCAAGGATGCGAATAGGCAATAGCAGAAACACTGGAGGTAATAGCCGTTCAGGCGCATATCTGGATGCACTATGGTTACCTTTATTTGCTGGAATTATTAAGAAGGATGCACTATGGTTATCTTTATTTGCTGGAATTATTAAGAAATTGCAGGAAGGGCAACAGTAGTATATTTTGGCTTTCTAACACCAGTACTTCGTAAAATTTATATTTAATATATATTAAAATTTGTGTACTGTGCGGGCGTTGACATAACATATATGATCTAGGATTTCATTTGTCTTTAAAAGGGTATACCTGACGAAGTTGGACAGTAAATAAGTAAGTAATAGTTCATACGTGTAACAACTAGAAATAAGTTCATCGCGACTGACCAAAAGCAAACGAACAGTTTTCCGACGCCTTACACAGAACTAGGCTTAGCTGGTCAACGAAACTTGAAAATTGTGCTTACGGTGCAGCTCCTCGTGTCAGACTCGAATCAGAGCAGGACTTTGTTGTTTTCGTTAGCTATTTTTGTATCTTATTCCTTTTTTCTATGTTTTCGTGACCTTTGTGAAAATGCACAGGACAGGAAGTGACGAATAGGAAGTAACGTCGGAGGGTACATCTGCTTGTAAACAAATCCAAAACAATATCCAAGCCGCTGTCCCCTTCTTCTACAGCGGTGTCAACGTTCACTGCCGAGCTCGCAGGGCTTAAGGGCACCCAAGATAGGTTAACCAACTGACTGAAACTTTCGTACAGGTAAACATATCTTAGACTTTCGCCCCTATTCCACGAAGAAAAAGGCTTCGACCTTGAAAGTGTTCGATTTGCTGACTTGGGCCTCTGTTCTAAAAGTGTTTGCCTTTCTGAGCACGACACATTGACCAAAATGGAGTAATGCGCAGGCTGTCCGTTAGGCGGATTCATTTCCATTGAAGAACTCATCAAAGTCATACGATGTGGTACTGCCATGTAGCAATATCACTCACTGCGTCGCTTTTTGCGAGTCCGAAGCTTTTTTTTGCCAATTTCGATGCTCGGAGGAACGAGTTGAGTTACGATACCCTAAAAGGTTAACATCTCAGCGTCAGTGACGATCTTTATGCAAGATCGTTCAATGATTCTCTTGTCAGTCGTGCAAGCAACAAAGTGCGTATTGACTTTTTTTTTCTTATTAATTTTCTTGAGTTTTTGATGTATGCAAAGCAGTCAATCAAGTCACTTCTAGCCACACAGAGAGGTTTCGACCACGCCGCTGTCGCTTAGCGAGTTTGTGGTCCGTTTAACCTCCGCTCTGTAGCCGTCCGCAGCATGGTTTGTGAAACCATTAGAAGGTAAGCGATAACACTTACTACCTTCAAACAATTCTTTTTCTAGGCCGAAACTAGTAGAGGAGACAATGGCGGATGAACCTTTGTCAAGCTTCTTGACCGACCGCAATGAATAACCATTTCTAACAACAGTCAACGAACCCAACAAGATCCACACCCGGCAGACGACACAACGATTCTGGAAACATTTAGTGAAATACAATTAATCCATCCGGCGCTAACGACATTTCTGGGCTCCAATGGGTGGTGTTCGGTGATATTCTTGCCATTTCGTGATAGTTACCGTAAGGGATGATATAAGCCGTGTGTCTCGTAGCAAAAGGCAATAGCGTATCCAACAATGCCAGTGATAGCTGTTAGAAATTACGTGCGAAGAATTTCTATGGGCTCATTGAGAAACTATACTTATTGTTAATGTTTTCGAACACCTAATGGCGACTTTCTGTTTCTAAAGAAATAGACAGTCGCTGTTAGCTATTGATGGTTCTGTGGCGGCCTAGTGGTAATATATCTGTCTGCTTGCTGACAGATATGTGAGATGTTCAAAATTTGAGGCTAGATAGCAACACCATTTTGTTCCTATTAAGACCAACAGTAGTTATCTAAGCCAGCACTGAACATGGGGCTAGAAACATAGATAAAACATCCGTCCGATAGTAAGCCTAATCTCGATTGCGAACGTAAAATTCGATTTAGATACTGAAATGAAGAACCGCTAGGCTCGGGTACAGTGTGAGCTCAACGCCTGCCACTGCGCGAAACAATTTAGCGGAATAGCTTGCAGTACTATTCGGATGTTTTGGGCTTCCCGCTACATGGCCAAAGTGTATTCGCCCGCAAATAAGAATGAAAAACCCTGTGCATCATCATTATGCTAAAACGAGTTCTGCTAGAATGCCCCCTTTCGTAACCTATGGTTCTATGAACGGCTATAAACCCGGCAGGGAAAGTTGTGTCAGACGAGTTCTAAGAACTGCTTACTAATGACTTTCAGTGGAAACACTTACCAATATTTCCTTTCACACAAAAAACCTTATCCACATAAAGACGTACAGAAATGTACGTCTATAAATTCTGTCGAATTCATGTAAGACTGCAGCTGCTAACACGCGATTGCTCTGTGAGCCCTCACAACAATTCAGACAGACTACTCTATTTCACTCATATAAAAACATGTGTTTCCCCATCGGACCCCCAAAATCCTTTCACGTTCTTACAAGCTGCGATCGGAAATGTATGACGCTGGTAGAGCATAAACCGAATAAAGAACGATATGTTGCTTCGACGAGTTCCCGTTAGAGACATCGAATTCAAAATTAGGTACAGTTTCTCGTCGAAAAATATCTGCATTTAGTAAAAAAAGACCGCCTACAATTTTATGCTTCGAGCTTAGCAGACGTCGAGTCGGAAGCTCCAGGTTCAATATCTAGCTGTAGTCGAAGGTTTTAAATTGTTTGTTTCATATCAGTTTGTAGGCCAAACGGGTTTTGAAATCCCGGAATTCCGGTTGTTTGTTCTGTCCTATCTTATCTAAGCTCACTTCCCACAAGAGCGAGCGCTAGAAATTAACACCTGGAAGTCTGTGACAAAGCCGTTTGTTCTGTCCTATCTTATCTAAGCTCACTTCCCACAAGAGCGAGCGCTAGAAATTAACACCTGGAAGTCTGTGACAAAGCCTTACTGTAAATATCACAACCAAAATAATTTTTAAAGCCCTATCATCTAGGTCCCTCTAGCAGGACTACATTCCGCAAAACTAGCGCCATATTCAATCGTTCGATTATTTTCTTCACAATAGTTCCAGAAACGTATCAGGTGGCAACAATGGGTATTGGATAATAATCGCATTGGGGTCCTGATCTTGTTTTAGCCACCCTCTATTCGGTCAGTGCACTCAGTTATTGGAGTATTCAGCAAAACAATGTAAAAAACAGTGTAATCTTTGCCTATAACAATAATCTCGCCAAATTACTTCCATGTATTCATGAAAACGTATGCATGTATTACGTTTTGGAGGTTACTGCACATGTGGACACTTATCATTACATGGGTTATGGAGAGTAGATGGTTAGCCACGGTGCAAGTACTGATAAGGTTTAGGCCAGCGAAAAGTGATAGAAGAGGAACAATAACTGATGACAGTTTGTTTATTCGAAGTGGCCAAAATCGAGTTGGCGGTCTGCTATGTGTAGTAGCTTACGATAGGTGCCATTTTCCGATAGGACTCACCTTTCCTCTATTCGCCTTCGGTACGGTGCGGTTCTCCGTAAAAAGATTTAATGTGACTAGGTCGACGGCACGAACGAATCCATCGCTGGATTCAGCAGGGAGCCATCACTGTAAAAAATAAGTTTGTCGTATGTCAAATCGGAACAAGTACTTAGCGCCAAATTAATAAAGCGTATAGATGGGGCAGAAATTTAATCTACTATTTATAAACGAGCATGTATGTAAAGGCGAATCTGGAGCGGCAGGGTGAAGTGGTTTGATGGCAAAAAAGGCACGGATTACTCCTTCAACACAGTACCCTTCATTTTGCTTACTGCTATTCTTCGTTGTTTCTCGCTTTAACGTTTATCTAAAATGGTCCATATTTATGATACACTCGCTGTTATAATGGCCGGGCGCGATTTAAGACAATTCGACGATCGTATCTAGCTTGTTCATTGCGTAAATGATCGAGAGAAACTGTTAAAGTGTAAATATATTTAGTGTAGAAAAAATAGCAAGTGAGCTAGATAGCCCCCATTTTCACTGATTCACGTGAAGTCCTCTGTTTTTGTAATTTTCTAGACTGTAATTGAGGCTACTAGTCACACTACTAGTACTAGCAGACGAGCCCTCAAGAGAGTATGCACCAAGATAGACGTTATATCAAATTGACATAATTAGCTTCTATTTTTAGACTTGACTGATATCGTATGATGGAGCGTCGCCGGGTAAACACACACACACACACACACACACACACACACACATTATCGTACGTTGGAAGAGTCATCGAAAAAAAGAGCCAATGGCCACATCGCGCTATAGGAAATGATATCTGACGCATGCTACACCATCGGGAAGCCGTTAATATCATAGAACCATAATCGTCACCTGGTGAAGTTGCTAGCAGATCAACGATAAAACGAAAAAAATGCTTCCGTATGGATTTTCGAATAATACCAAAAGACACGGTAAGTTGCCACTTATTAAAGTTCCAACTGTTTTAAGTTAAACAATGGCTCCCAGCACGACGTCACGTGTCTCTTTCAAGACAAGTAGGCGGATATGTGACCACTCTACCATTACATGAATAATCAACCCCTACTGAATGCGCTCATACGGTCAAACGCCCAACTGGGAATAAATTTACATCGGGTAAATATTCTTTTTTTAGTGCATATACTATTTTATTCAGTTTAGTATGGCTTTTCCAATCACAAAGGAGCAAGCTTGCAAATTACTATCGAACCATCAAAGCCTAAGCTAAACATTTGTGCTAAATTACACAGAAATCAATGTTACGTGTTTTACAACGGAAATTGCTGTTAGGTGTTACAGATTGGTCACTGTTTATGCTTACTCCATTCCTATACAAACCTTGTGGTCAATCTAAGCTTTATTGAGTCTGGCTAATTGTGGCTTTCAGCAATTTCAGATCTGAATTTTCCATCATTAGGACCATCGTTAGACTGGTGAAATTCACTTGTAAAAAAAAAAAGACCCGAGAATGTTTTAAAGTCAGTTTGGGGGCAAAATTCCCGTCAAAGCCTTCCAAAAACAACTCTCATGTTTACTTAGCTGAGCCAGAGAGAGGGCATACCCTTTGTTGTTGGGTTCCTAAAATTGGTCCTCGTGATAGCTTAAGAGGTCAACGTATTTGGATGCTAATTTGAGGGACACGTTTCTGGTCTAGTTTTGATCTTGGGCACCGACAGACTTCGTTTCCTGCTGGGAGCCAGCCATCTGATGGTATGCCAAACGGCGATACCAGACGCGGTTGCTGCGTCCTGATATGGCCATGAGTTCTCTCGGTATGACGCTTATCGTACAGGTACTTCAGAAAGAGCAAAGTTGTTGCGTAGTATATAATAAATACTAATATCACAGCTTTACGCGTTCGTGTGTAGACCGCGGACAAGCCTTTGAGTTTTCAAACCTCAGTCAAAATTTGTGGTCATCTGCTTTAAGGCGTTTAAGGCGTATTAAACATGTTCGTTTTTTTCCGACACGAAACAAAAAGCAAACGATCTTCCAACTTGCTGAATTTTCGTTGGATGTTAACAACGCGTTGGGTGGTATAGCCACCAAAGACTTCACTTTAGATGCTGTTTCCCTGCAGTAATTTTCGATACAAACAATCGATTCGAGCATCTACATGCAGGCGCATTATTTGCCTAATTTCAATAGTCGCAATAGAACAAAATTATCTGTTATAAGACATGTCTGGAGGCCAAATTGATTAAATCCGATAAATTGACACTGTTGTAAATATTTTTTTTTTTTTTTTATAGATGCACTTACAGGTATTAACAACTGCTTTTAAAAAAATGATAGATGCCGTTACAAGTTAACAATCAGGCAACAGCACTCAATTGAGCCAGTTTCAGAGCGAAACCCAAAAATAAAAGTTCTGTAGTTTCACAGTTACAGGTTTACCGGATACATACTTTTGCAATGGGTTTCGATTTCATTGTAAAGTTCCGCAGACAGGAATATGATCGAGTAAATTCTGCTACGTCAGTTGGTGTGGCTCCAAAGCGTCCAACTTTTTCCTTCTCTAGCTCTTCTTAAAATAGCTTAAGACTATTTGGCGCTGTATGCTTTTTTTGTTTCTTGGCAATACTTCATCGATATTCAGTAATTTTTTCAACTTCACTCCATAATCGGTCTATCACTACAAAAACTGTTTTTTTTTTTAATCAAAATTTCCAGAATCAAAGCGTGGGCTCTTTCCTTCGATAACGCATAGTTACGAAAGGCAATACAACTTTTTACATAAGACCTAAGCAACTTCTATACCTTAAAGCTATACCTTCTAAACCTTCTATACCTTCTATACCTATAAGCCTGAATAACAACAATATCGTTCAAATGAGCGTATTGCCGCGTCATGACCAATTTGACTCATATTATTTTAATAAACAAAACCTGTCAGCTAGAAAAATGGTCAATACTTTTCAAAAAACATGTGTATATATATACATACACTCATGGTAATCTAGCGATTACCTCCTAGCAAACGCAAGATCAGCGTGTAACGCGCAACTAGTCTTATGCCATAATGACTATTATGATGACCCGGCTATAGCTTTCACAACACTTAAGCTTATTTTATATATACAGAAAAACAAATCGAGCGCCGCGAGATCACCTGTAACCTGTGTATGATTCTGACAATGGCACAATAGATCGTTACTTAACTGTGTTTAGTTTAGTCTAGTTTAACTTAACTCGTTTACTCAACTTAATTCTGTTTCTTTTGAAATGAGATTACACTGAGGAATAGGTTTACACTTGAAAGATTACATCACGCTTAACTGTAATCTCGGAAAACCAAACCAATATGTGAAAATATATAGAGCTTCCCGGCTGAACTCCTATCATATGAAGCGCATGAGAAGGAAACAAAGTGGCATGATTAAGCAGAACTAAGAATAAACACAAAAAAACAAAGAAAAGTGCTCTCTCTCTCTCTATCCCTCTCTATGTATCCTCCACAAACTTGACAACATTTACCAACATAGTCCCGCTTGTATTAATTACAAACCATTAAAAACGTAAAAGACCACCAAATAAGCAGATTTTTAGAAAAGCGGTAGGATCTGTGGTATCCCTTCCCTGAAGTCTGCCGACCAAGATTGATCGAAACCGTAGATAAGGTAATCAAGTTAGTCTGCATTAGCTTTTTGGCAGAGTGCCCAAAATTCGACAGGTTTGCCTAATATCTCTGATCATGCATAAGTAATTCAAGCTTCATGACCTGTGAGTCGAGCATGTGTCATTACCATCCCCAATGCATTCATAACTCATAAGTTACTTAAGTAAATGCCAACAATGTGTACAGTTTACAAGGCGAAGAACTTTGAAAAACAGGAAAAACTACCTGGATAATTAGACGGAACCAAAGACCATTGACGGTAAGCGTTGGCCTGGTATGGACCCGTCGCAGGCTCGACATCGTCACTACTATGCAATAACGTGTAAAAATTGGCTGTCCTCTAAATAGTGATCCGTTTCCGAAAGACCAGATTTGCAAAATGAGTTAGTTAGTTAGCGTTCATTTTTTTGTAAAATAACGGTTTCTTATAATATGATTCTATTATTGAAGATGTGAATCTTTCAGCTAATTTCAAGCGTTATTTTTCCTATTAATGAGTGGATAGTCCTTTTCACATCAAATATCATTTTTATGTAACATTGTTACTAACAGTTGAAACGATGAATCGCATTGATCATATGGCAATAATAACGTAATTGTAAATGCTGGCACTTTTAGGATGTATGTCTATTACGTAACGAATAACGGTGTGTACGAGTAAGAGCGAATCTATTATGTGGGAGGACCCATATGACAGCTATGCTACAATTGCGCCATATTTATATCATATCTTAATAGAAATCCTGTCCAGCGAGAACAGTCTGTAGGTATCGATATAGTTAGTCTACGAATAGAACCGGAGATGGGGTGCGCTGGGTGGTTCCTACTAGAAAGTAGCAATACTTTCATAGCAGTCGCGGATTTCTGCAGTCGTCACAATCAGGCCTGCATCTGATATCCGAAGTATCCGCTTTAAGCAGAAACACAATTAGAAACTAGACGTAACCAAAGGCCCACTTAAGGTTAAAAAGAGATGGATAAACGTATTGTAAGCAATTGTCTTTCACTTGCTAAGGTCGCAGTTCGTTTCAATGGATATAATCTGCCCAGGCCAGACAATAATGTAGCAAAGCTTTAGCAGCGTTCGATAAACTGCCGCAGTGCTATTGGAGTGTTTCAGGTGTACGACCGTGAGGGAGCATTCTGCGGTTAACACAAACAAACATAGACCCATCTCAACCCGACCAACTGATCTTGAATTACTTAATACTAGGCAATTTTACCTATGAGTTATCTTTTATCCCGCTTCAGGCTACTGTAGTGATCTTTACCTTACACATTGTGGACATAGTCTCTTAATACATGTTTGTTTGAAGTCCACTCTATGACTTGCTGTTACAATGTCTTTCGACATTTCTGTTACTCCTATGATGATGTTACCTACTGGTCATCAGCGCTGCGTCGGCTGCTACTACTTCGATGCCATGTTTTTCGCGCAGCTTAGTTTTTTTTTCTAATTTGATATTAGGCCTTCCCACATGCGCTGAAACTATGGGGTTACGTCGCTAGAAACCAAAGGACCTAACCTACACCTAGTTCTCGACAGGCCACCCGCAGTCTACAACTCAGATCGTTAGATTGACGTTGATAGCGCAACGCTTTCGTTTCCTGCGTGTGGCTCCTTCAACAAGTCAAGATCACAGGTACTGAACTGGGCCAGGCCAGCCAAAAATTTGTCTACCAGTAGAACGCTAGAATGGTGAAGACAAAGAAAACTGCAGTTACTAGCAAGCGTAAAAGTATAGGACACCCTGAAGACTCGCGCGTCGGATATTCTCGGTAAGGATCAGACTAAATAAGCCGCTAAACGAGCCTGGGCCCCACTCAGGAGTAGCGAATAAGCCTTCGCCAGTGTACCGCCACCTACGTGAGGTTCAAACTATCTCAGAGATTCGCGTACACAAGGTTGTCGGGAGGCAACCTTTAGCAAGGCGCAGGGCCTTGAACCGGGAAAAGCAGATGATCGAGTAAAGGAAAAGTGCTTACGTTAAGCGGGCTAAGCCGTTATACTTTCCGGGAAGGTAAGCACACTGAAAACGGTATCGAGTGCAATCGGACGCTCAATACACGCCCATGCTGCCAGCTGGTAACCTTTACTCAGATCTACCATACCTTTTCTGTTGTAGACCTGATGCAACAAAGAGTATTGCAACTTCAACGTCCAAATTAATTTTTGCTTGGCGGAACTTTGCTTCACAAACAAGTCTACTAGTCGTAGCTGGAAGTGACTGTATGGGTTCGAACCTAAGGTCTTAATAATTGCTAGGAATAACTTATCACAGCTCGACTCTTTAAAAAAATGCTTCATGCCAGACAATTGCTGTTTAGCAATAAAGTTCACGGCATCGGTAGGCAAAACATGGAACACTCTAATTTTGTAGTAAAAGATACATATCGCTGCCGGCAAAGTTGTTTATTTCGATAGATTTATTTTTGACCGTAGATTTCGTTACTTAATTTATCCTCCAGCCATGAGATGCTATTGCGGTAATAACTTCATCTGACCCGTTTTAAAGAGCACTCGATAGCCGACACGGGTATGCTGTTATCGAATCAACTCAATCTCACAGCTTACATAACACTAGGAGTTCTATGGGGTTTTCAATCGACACACGACGGTACTATTTGCATGATAAAAATTCGTTGTTTATCTAAATGAGAAAGACATCATTAATCTTTTTTTTTAAATATTGGGCAGGTTAAACACTGATTTATTTTAAACTAGAATTAGCGTTTTCTCATTAAAGGAAATACGTTATCGTTGTCATAGTGTTATTTAGCTGCTATGTTATTGCGCCTACTATTTGCTTCACGACTTCACTTCGTTGATTCCCTCGACTTCTACAAGCAATACAAATAAAAGCAACAAGATGTCTATCGACATCGAACTCCGTTCAGCTCAGATCTGTAGGCTAGTTCGTAGTAATGTTCGTGAGTGGCTTATGTGTGAGTGAGGGTGGTTTTGCCCTAGTATAGCTTCAAATTAGATCAAATAACATTTAACTTGAAAATAATAAAGAAGTTTCTTGTCAAACAGCTAGTTACCTCAGCTCCTTTTACCTACGACGAAAAATACGATTGACAACACAGGCGGAGAAACAATGCGGCGGTAAAAAAGCTAACGAAATAACGCCTGACTCAATTATCTCGAAATAATAACAGGTTATTAAGGTAGAGTCTAAGTATGGCTTACTTGAAAGTACGGCGGAATACGATAGTTTTTTCGTAATAACGTATCTGAGAACCATGTTTCTTATTCAACTATATCTACTTCACATTGGATATTTTTAATTTATTTAACTATTTTAATTCCTATTATTTAACATTTTATCGCATCATTCTATTAATACGTGTTGTTTACACCCTGTCTTAGAAATGCTATTATTACTCTGAACACTCGGTATGTTATAGGGTTTCGATTTACGACAACCACTTACCGCATGTTCACTTTCTTGACGATCTTGTAAAGAAGCCGGCCTGCCGACGAGTGTTGTGCCTGAAAGTAGGCCATGTTGAAATGGTTGATATGTGATGTTCCTCTGAGCAGCGCGTTCAAGCAGGCTTGGTATGTTGGTATTTTCGTGTGTATCCGAAGTCTTAGCGCCACGAGCGTTGTCATTTGGGTCAGTTGATGTGCTGGTCGCTATTGCCTTCAGTGGCAGAAAGCGGAGCCAAAAGCTGAGATATATGGCTCCGGACGAAGAATGATAAAGCTATTGATGAAGTATGCTCAATCAGAGCTGCTAAGCAGATTGTGAATGCTATCTGTTAAACGTATCCACAATGTTACTCAGTTTCGTATTCTACATTAGTTGAGCATTGCGTGGTATTTTCGAACGTCATGTGAGAGTAGGCCTAACTAACACATTGCTCCTGGCTTTTTCTGTATATATATATATATATATATATATATATGATACTAAAAATGCCACAAAGCTAACAGGATACCCCAACAATGGTCAGTATACATTACCAAATAAGGCTCTTCTTTTATACGAAACTCGAAGCTATCAATTATTTTCTACACATCGTCACGCTATCGCTATCTAGTAGCGATATAGCAATAGGCGAAACCAAGAACCTACTGGATGGAATGTTTTGCAACATACCTCGACGACGAGTCTATTTTATACACGATATGAGCATTTACTTGTTCCTTGGACGGTTCAGTTCAGAAGTGTGATTATGCCCAGAGAATCCTGAGTGATTCATAGTCGTTTGTAAAATGACCTTAAGTTCTGTTCTAAGTACTGTGCAAAGAATATACTTCAATGTTAGCACTTGTGTTCGTACAATGTTGTTTCGACTTAAAGTTAATTCATGGATTTGTTTTGCTATTATGCAATCGGAACATTTGACGGTGTTCAAAGCAGACAAGACGCTAGTTTCAATAGGATTCAAAGGTATTACTAAATACTTTGACGAAGTTTCATCCACATTGGGCGCTTAACTTGCTTACGCGTACTCTTTAAGTCTATTTTATGTCCCGTAGTCCGTTTTTCTAATAGAATCGACGAATATTTTATAATAGTTTCTTACCTAAGCAAACGAGGCAAAGCCTCCCTACTCGTCTGTGACGCGTTTACAGGAGTAGTCGTCCCACGTATACGTGTACAACACAAATAGGATCTAAAAAAAGAAGACCTATTCGCCTTTCAGCAGAGCACTGACATTACGGTTGGTTGAATTTAGTGGATCTGGCTCTGACTATAATAACGCGCAGCTTTTTGCTCAATAACTTCACACTGTCCTCATGACGATTTAAACTCTATATTTGTTACAGCTATAAAAATCGCCGCTGGTCCTACCTCATTTACTCATTTAGGTTGTTGATATAATTAAGTATCCTAGCGCGTTTTCGATCTTAATAGAACACCGATCTTTAGAGTACTTCGCATGTTTACGTGCTATTTGTGCAGCTAGTATAATACTACGAGCGAAAATTAAGTCGAATGTGGCACGGATCCTTTAAGTAACCCATGAAGGGTTACTAATAGGGTTTCAAGCGGGCTATGTCTGGTAGTTGTGCGTTACAGCAATGGTATGCTTGTGTACGGTTTGTCGTAGTGCACGCAGCCTTACCGTACAACACGTAAGAGACGTCGTGCTTGTGTACTCGCAAGCAAAGGACAAACACAGACGCTGTCAAAATGACAAAGTCTTGAATATATTCCATTGTCTGTAAACAGACCTAGGAAGATGATCACCATTGAAGTCGAAGTGTTTACAAGTCAACCTGTACTACGCATGTAGCCATTCTAATTGGAAAAGACTCGTCCATGGCCCGAAAATAATCATTCGACAAGTTCGCGGAGGGTAGCGTTCCTGTTCGAGCGTACCTCAGTTCACTTAACATGAGCATTCGTAGCGCTGCTGAGTAATTTTGGTAGAGTAAAACATTAGCTTTATAGGACAAGGACCGAGTTTGAGGCGACATTCGCAGACGCTTTGATGAATAATAGCATGGTAATGCCGGCACAGGCGGATTTTCGTTAAAATTTTAATATCAGTTGCGGGTTATAAGCCGTTATATATTCATGCGATCTATTACTCATAAACTTAATAAAATTTAATTGAGTATTGAATAAATTGTAGCCATTACGAATATGTATGTTATTCAATTGAAAACTAAATATACACTTCTACATTGTAATGCGAAGATAGTATCTTATTTTAAGTGTTTACGCCTAAGTTAAGAATCTGAAAAGGATACATTGGGATGGCACCGAAACAAATGAATCGCGCCAAACTCAACATTTGTCACCGACGAATTCTTTGCCATTCCAAATCGTTGTACTCCTCTAGAAAGACAAAAATGAGGTCCGCGATACCAACAAGTTCAATGATTCGTAGAAAATCTCGAGTCAGAATGCTTACACACTCATTGCAGACTGCGCATGCAACTTACGTCAAAGTTACATCATAAAAAAGTCACTCCTAAGTGATTTTCGAACCATGTATATAGATATAAAGCCGAGTTTAGAGTGTTAAATTTAATAACAAAAAAGGGTCAAATAGTAACCTCATCTGTGAAAGTTAGAGCAAACTTTTACGCCCAAGTACGATGTACAGATTGTGTTATACATCTCCATTTTTTACGTTATAATAATTAGTGGGCCCTGCTATACTCCAGTTTGCCAGAAATACTTTTATATCCCAGTCCAGTTCTCCCTGTTTGTTTATTTGCCCCTCTTGTGTGTGTGTGTGTGTGTGTGTGTGAGTGTGTGTGTGTGAGTGAGTGAGTGTGAGTGTGTGTGTGTGTGTGCAGGACAAAATAACCTCATTAATATAAAATAAATATATAAAATAAAACATTAAGTCGCCCGTTTTATGCTTTTCACATCACCACTTACGATTAATCTCTCTCGGTTTCGAACTGGCCAATGCAGGGGCCGGGTGTGCTTTCGCTGCGATATATTGGATAGGTTGGATGTATTTTCGTCAATGAAAAGCTTCAGGCTCGTACAGACAGCGCTATTTCCGGCTCACAAAATCGGTTCGTTTCCGGTGCATCATTGCGAACTATTTGCCTTTACTAATTACTGCTGGAAGTTGTTGTTTAGTTGTTACGGGTAAAGAAGGGCAGAATGCAATGTTTCCATAAGGACCTGTAGCTTACAACGCGCCATAACGAACAGTCATCCCATGATGTCCATAGACACGTCCCTTTAGCAGCAGCTGCGTATGCTTAGACATCGAAACTGCATCATATAGCAGGAAGGACCACGGAGGCGAGAACCGTTTTCCGATAGCCCGACTTCAATTAAGGTGCCTTTCGCTATATCGATGGCTCAGTTAGCACATTCGTTTCGCCTATCAAAATTACCCTGATGTCGGTACACAGAGACCCATCGTGATTGCTTATGATTAGGGATTTTGTCTCCCAGTCGAGTTAAATCATACCATGAAACTATTTTTATTGAAGCATTACGATTTAAGAAGGCACAACTAGAAGAGATTTTTAATAGGGGAGTATGGTTCGTGCTCAGAAAAAACGTCACGTGGAGCGTTTTAAAACTCCAAATGAATTATCCTCTGTGATAGTTATCTTATCGCTACGTCTACCTAGCCCACCTACAACTACCAGTTCTGCCATTTGCATTTCTTTTAACAATCTAAAATTTTGAGCCGCACGCGAAGCTTTCTAGTAGCTGGTACAACGTCCAATTTTTATCTCATCATGCCGTACGGCTTTGAAACGATCTCCATTAGTCTCTGCCCACTTGAATATGAGAAGCTTCGAAAAGTCATAAACTGAACGGAAAATCCGTAAAGACACATTGCAGTAAAACAATTAGAGGGCACAGATTCTTGTTAGATGGGCATAGACATAGAGATACTATCTCTGTTATACAACAACGGGGTTCCACCAAAGGCAGTCATGTTCTATTCAAGATAACTAAAGGAAAAACACTTCATTATCGAGCTAATATAAATTTTTCTCATAAGTAATTCGGCTCTTAGTGGAAACATTTGTAGGGACAATGTTTATTTCTAGCAAATCTTCGCACACACATATCGACCTATTAAAATCTACGTTGTTGCAGAATTTTAACAAGTATCGCATGATGTAAGAAGTAAAGTATCTGACAATTATCGAAATTTAATTTGGTGCAATTTTTGCTTAAATTATTATGGATTTAGAGCTAATTGGTACTAATGCTAAGTTGAACAGTGGTTATGAGCTGATATCTTACCAGCTATACAGTCCTCACATATTTCTTCTGATTAATTGTCAGTAAATTTGTTATGATTTGTAGTAAAATTCAAAACGTAGTAAATCTTCATCAGATTTCGTGCGCACCAATATACTCAAAAAAACTGCAAAATACAATAGAAATTTTTAGAAAGGGAATTGAGGACGCTCTGGGATGTCCGGTTACTGCGTGTGCCTTTGACGACATGCCGAGTATTTTTTACTATGTTATATTTCATACATGGTAATTTCAGCTAGATGAATTGAAGCATTATAATGCGATCGTATTGTTCGACATCAATGGTTTTAGGAATTATCGATATATGATACATATAAAAACATCATGGTGCATATTGGGAAGATTATCACTAAGTCTAATTGAAGAAGTTGAAATAGCAAGGTATCAGAGAAATTTCCGCTTAAGCAGTATCTCATTTTCTTCTTTTTACTTCTTTTTTTATCTCATTTTCGCATCCATTCGTTTGACTTCAGTTTTATCTAACTTTATAGATAGAAAATTCTTGTTGTCCCACTAACTTCTCGTGAAGAACTTTACAAAAGAAATTGTACAATACTACGCCTATCCGATGCATTCAAATCGGATTGTACACGAGGGGTAGAAAACGGACGTTCTAGATTAAAGTTAAACCCATTGTCAGCGTTTGGCTTAGGCAATCTTTCATCGAAGAAGAAAATTAAATATACATATAACAAACAATTCGGCCAAAACGGCACTAGGGAGAAGTTCGTTAATAAATTATAACAATGACAATGCCAAACTTGTCAAACGCTATAGTAATTTCATCCCATAATGAAAATTTATAGGATACCTTTTAGCTGAACCTAGCAACATTTTGAAAACAATATATTGAGAAAACTGTAAAAGAATATTGGCAGATATAATAAAGATGAAATGCTATATACAAACCATTTACTTGCGACGAGCTACGAAGACTAAGAGCGTAGCTACGCGGTCATTTCAAGACGACAAAAAAAAGGGCTTAAAGATTGCTTTTGTCTAACGTCGAACCCCTTTCTCTCCACCTGACTACGCTCGAATTGCGTTTGCATAGAGTGGAAAAACACAAAATAGCCGGTCACTATATAAAAAGAAAACCTTCGTCCACTGTTTTTAGTCATGCGAATTAGTTAGGCTTGCGATGAAATTGCAAGCAATTTATAGCCATCTTTAATCTAAATTAGTTCCAACATTAGGCAAAGGTCCTTGATAACCAACTTGATGCTGAGAATGGATGGATAAGCTAACGATCCACTTTAGGATAATTCCTTCTCGCGTTTCATTTCCCTTGCAGCTGCTGCGCTCGATAGTATTATGTTCGCCATTTACGGTACTTTGAACTAAAAAACCTGAGATTGATTTCCAATTCTATATAGTTAGATCTTTAAATGATTTATAGCGTCTATAAACGATAAAAATGGCCCCGGATTAACAGAATTTATTTTTTCAGTTATTCCAGCCAGTGTTATCAGCTACAGTTGGTCGAACTGCGGCGCGTGTTTCTTCGTCGTGCATGCAAAAACGTTGGCCATTTGAGCGGCTATTATCGTACCGACGAAAGTTTCAATAAAAGCTGCCTGAAAGAAAAACCTTTGCTCCGCGACAAGCGACCCAATTAAGCGTAACTTCTGCCTAAAATGACAAAAACTACTCGCTCGAAGACAGGTTCATACTGAATCCGATCTTCCGTATCTGCGACCCTACGTGTATCAGAAACCCCACGTAAAGGAAGTCGGATTAATACGTCGCTCAAAACCTGGCTTAAATTGTCTTGTTCAGTTTATCGTTTGCTTAAACTTTCCGTGTGACTGACAACTAACTAGTTCTCTTTAGAGATGAACAAAATTTCTCTATGCCTTTACCCGTTGTTTCGCGTGCTATTCGCTTATAAAAGCGAAGTTTACCACTGGAGCTCGAAAGGGAAAATGTCACCGGCCATTATTTCATGTAAGCTAGCATAGATACTAGACATGCTCAATCTATCCTGACATGTCAGTTCGTGCAATTCCAGGCGTTCTAAGCAGGCCACGAGATATTTTTGTAGTTTTTGTCATAGCATTTTTTCGTCAATCTATTACGGTTATTATTAATATCTAATGCTAAGTATTGGTACTATTGTGTAGCTATTCGTTTTATCTGATGTTTCTTATATTATTCCTCAACGACGCTGCGATCGTTTGTCGCACCGCGTTGGCATTACAGAAAATGAGCTATAGATAGCCATAGTGACAAATTGGCCATGTAGCGTGTTTCCATGTGCCTTTAGCAACGGTTCTTCTGCCGGTCTGTATACATCCTATGACACGTATTGTATTCTGTATACGTTATGCGCATGTATACGTTTATCCACATCTTAAGGATAGCCTTAAATCTCGTCCGTTCCGAGTAGAGATTACGGGTAGAGTTTCAATGGTCCTATGCGGATTATGTAAGGGTTTGCCAGCACTCTAGTAAATTCTGGACGATTAACCGATTGATCGAATGTGAGAACAGTGAATGCTGTCGACTATGAAGCGAAACGCATTATTTTTTGTCCTAATTGGCCTCTATTAGTACTGTTTAGGATTGCCGAGGTAGGCACGATGGCTGGAGATGAAAATACATGATAGTCAAATTTATTATTTAGAAAATTTGAGACAAATAAACCAAGACAGAGTCTAAAGGACGTATCATCTTGACCGATCGGTTCACTGAGTTCACTCTAATTTATATCCGTGCATTTGTTCTAAGTGATCCGTAGAGTTTTAATATAGATGATTTTCCGGAAACTCAACCCATACATCGCACATCAATGTAAGTGAAAAGAGAACTTCCGATTTTTTATTCTTTCCATTGTTAACAATAATGGTACTGTACAGCATATAATAGCGATTATCGTCAGATATTTTTAGGGCTCCTTACGAGCGTACCAGTTTGCAAAAAAAGTCAAACAGTATCTGTCTATATGTACAGAGAATTCTTATATCGCTTCTGTACTTCAGGCAGTGAAGTCAAGTGGTCTCGTTTGTTGCCTCCGGGCATATGTCACCACTTCACATGCCCTCACTGCTCGACTTTACTTGACACTAATTGACTCTGAAGCCAACTTACGAGCCTAGCTTGGCCTTTTAAAGCGAAAAGGGACAGCGCCAGGAATTGGTAAACACGACACCCACTTACGATGGGTCTAGCCCAACATACACTTCGAAAACGCCTCGACCTATGTGTCTGGAAAGCGGAGACTCCTGGTGTCGGATCTCACAGCTCGCAACGTGTACAGAACTACAGACGACTTGAGTGGACGTTTAGAATAATATGCTTATTTGACAAATTTATTATTATTAACTAGCAATAGTACAAAGAAGGTGTCGTGAATTTATCTTTAATTCGCAAATAATAATACTAAACTGGGGAAGTATATTCCATCAAAATCAGCCCACATGCAATATTCTCCTCCTATAAGACAGTGGCCTGAGACCTAGGCAGTACGACTACTCGTTAACAAGTGGGCCCATGCAAAGTAAAACTTGTCATAAAATATTAACAAAAGAACAGGTTCTCACCTTTAAAACCGTCCACATTGAGGCACAAGGCAGCTACAGGGTCCTTTCGTATCGATTGTAAACAAAACCCGCAATAGATCTGCGTATGTATAGTAAACACCTTTAGCAACGTCTGTATTTACCGTGTTTGAAAACAGATTCAGTTGTTTTCGGTTACTCTTTTGGAAACACTTGCACGTTGACACCCTTTCGTTTCTAATTTCTCGTTGAACAATGTATGTACTGATAAGTCAGATAAGATTTGCTTGTTAAAACAAATTGCTTTATTTATCTACAACTTTAAAGTAGCCATATGTCTCACTTTCATACCTTAAAACATGAACATGAATAATTAAATTGACCCCACAAGTGGGCGCATGTTGGTGACCGACCATCTCCTTGCCAAGTTCTGCAAAACAACCTGGGATTCGTTACCTTGTTTGACTGTGTAATATGCTCCTCCGGGTTCCTCTGTATCCGCAGTGATCTTCCGCACTCCTGCACAGATCTATGTGTATTTCTATTTGGCTGAATTGTCTAGAGAGACGATTCGATTCTTACCATTCGGAGAGAACCTAAAAGCAATTAAGAAAACACTAAAATTGTAAAAATAGAGTAGGCTTTCGAAGGAAATGCTAAACTGGCAAATGGGGAAAGCTAGTGTCACCGTCAAAATCAGTCCCTAGAGCGTCCTAGTTTGCTGTACACTGCAATCGTCAATTAATTATACGGATACAGGTAACAGTTTGAGTGATTGTACCGCTTGATTATGCAGCAAGAAATATTTGTAGTAATCGCTTCATCATTGCGAGTAGTAGATCATTTATTGCGTGCCGAATACTGTTTGCAGTTCTTACGAGATCGATTCCGTTGAAAGGAAGTAACCAGACAACCGTCGTTGTCTACCCTCAATTATTGGCGAACGCATCAGAACCTAACACAAGGCACAAGTGCCGCTATTCTTTACGTACTCACCTGCAAACACTAAACAACGTAGTATGTATGGCCATATAGAACCATTTTTGCTTCCGTATTTCGAATTACAAAACAAAAGACTTCAACAGACATCAATTTACACAGTTACATCTTACCGTCATGGAATGGGTGGAACCCTATAGTCGCTGACAGGCAGAGGGCTACAGGCAAAATTCTAAAACTATATGGTATAACTTTTTGTTGTGTGTTTTCATTGCAAACTTCCACAAGCTGCTGTTATCTTTGACTTTGATAGATATGTCAGGAAAAGCTTTTCGTCTATGGCATAAAAATATACGTAATAAAGTGGCAAATGGCTTATGATTAGTAGCCAACATCAATTTAGTAGCCAATCGACAAGAGAACTGAATAATCCTGCCATCGTTCTTTTTCTCACTTCTGCTTCTTCCCACTTGAAGGAAGCTTCAATCCAAAGTTATCGACCGTTCAACGAAACAGTTTCGCGCCTGAAAAAGCGCAATTTTGCAGCCGGTGGCGAGGAAAGCAATCCAAGTAATTCAAAACAGCCCATGTTTAATTTTTTGTTACTACTGGGGCCGTATCGTTGTTTTAGGATCACTGCAGAAACCTAAGTGGGGCAAACATATAGCCGATAGATACGATCATTTTATATTCAAACGAGCTCCTATTTAGGCTTCCTCAAAAGTAATAGGAAAATGTCAAAATTACAAGAGAACTAGATTAAAAAAGAAGCGGATACACAGTACTTGTCAGGAGGAAGCTGACTGAGCACTTTTGTGAAATGTTCTATTGCTTATCAATGGCAACTTGGTTTGCTTGAACGTCTGTCACTTATAGTCGTTTGAGGACCTACCTAACAATGGCGTTTTCGAAAAACTGCCACCTCGTTTTCATATCTCGACATTTAAACACCACAGTCAACCTCGAAATCCTTACAGCGCTGAAAGTAGCACTAACTAACATAAACAAACATCGCAATTAGCCCCCGATGAACATCATTGCCCGCAGCGATGGCTGTTGTCGTAGCATGGCCACGTAGTGTGTGGCAGTTTTCTGAAAGTATGCCTCGCAATCTGCTAGGACGTCAGGGATTTTTGGTTGAACTTTGGCGTCCATGACGTCGTTGGCCTGTACTCCAATAACAAAGCCAACGACGTTATGGACGCCAAAGATCGACGAGCGGCTAAACGGTACAACATCAGCATTTCGTTTATATTCAGCAACGCCTAAAAAAAACCTAATGCCAATATCTTTCTTCTCGCCATCAACAAGTCGTCGGGGCCGCGAATTGGCTTCGCGGATAGCAGCCAAACATAGCGTGTCAACAAATGGCTGCGGCAAAGAAGTACTTGTCTGTGTGGTTCTTTAGAGCTTCAGTAACTTCACTGATGGCTGGAAAGTTTTTACGTTGGTAAATCTACTTTGCACAAAAAGTTCAGCATAGAAGTACAGCATAGAAGTATAGCCGTAGGCGTCGAATGGCTAACATAATAACAACGACTAGCAGCAATAAGGAATTTGTCACGGTTACACTTTAGTAGAGACTGAATAAAACCCTCTCGAAAAGTACATAAAGTCTATTACAAAAGTACATAAAGAGTATTATGAATCTGCTTGTCGGTAACGCAGCGTTAACGACGATAAACTACTGCAACATTAGTAAATATTTTTGAACTGTACGTGGCCAATATGTATATATATATATATATATATATTGAGCTTTATTTTGGAAATTTATTGTATACCAAAAAAAACAGGGCGTCGAAATTTATGTTTTCGCTGCGAAGAAGATTTGTTGCTTGATCCATAATACAAAAAAACGAATTATTACATAAGTATTGCTGCGATATTATTCAAATTTAGTAGTAAACAGCTCCTATTGATTTATGGAGATTAATATATATTATATAACTAATTTAAAATCTATAGATCAATGCAGATATTTTTGCAATTTGATTACACTTTGCCCTCGTATTGATCTTCTACTTCATCTTTTCTATTGAGCTGGCATCTCGAACTGGAGTTCAAAATTGCCACATTTACATATCACTGGGAGAAGTATTGCTTCGGAAAGAGACTATCTACTTCGTTGAACATATAATATATCTTGAACCGGACCTGGTTTTACCTAGCTACTTCCTTGGGTTACCCGGTTTTCGCTCATAAACGGCTCCCGAGACTAAGAAATGCTTTATTGACCACAGAATCCAGGCAGGTGCCGTACGCTGAGGCAAAACCAATCCACCTATTGATCATCCGTTGCATTGAACTTATGATCTGATAGTGACATTTTCATTTATTTGAAATTATTAAATACACTCATTGAGTACGTAAAAGAAAATTGATAGAATATATGATGGTCTACCGCTTGATGACGCGAACTACGTAAAAACAATAATCCTGAGAAATAATCTTTAGTGGACATTAACACAAGGAGCAAGATTAACTATCAACTAAACATGAATAGATTTTTAAAGGCTTTTTTTTTTAGCCATTTTTTCCTACCTAATTTCAATTCCCTGCCTTAATCATTCCTACGTTTACTGACGCGAAGTTAAATCACTCCATTAAGGACTCCACTATATTAGCAACTGCGGACACAGTTTAAGAATGCCAAATTACTGTTGTAAACCGAATATAAAAGCATATTCTATATGGATCGGCAATGATTTGAAGCATATTATCTAAGATCTACGATCAGCAAATGTCTTCACTATTAAACTACATTCATTGTTTATTTGGCTGGTTACTGTGTTTAGGGCTATTTACAGGAAAGGTTGCCGTATCATTTCATGAATAGGTAAATACAAGTACTGTTAGGTAAAACAATTTATAGATAGAAAGAATCATTATCGCCGCATCAATGACCAAGGGTACGCGGTTCAGCCTTCAACAAATGACAATCGAACGTGGTAAAATGAATACCTGGACATTGAAAGCTTGTTTGTATATTTCGCGCTTGCAGTATTCGCCCGTAACGCGCTCGAAACACATAGCGGGACTATCTAAAAAGTATTCAGGCGGACAAATTTTAAATTAATGTTTCGATAGTGGCATTTTTATATTTAAATATCCAAAAGTTACCTCGAGAGCATGTGGTACGCGTACGGTATGATTCACTAATAATCAGGGTCAAGCAATCGGCTTACCGCTGTTTAAGATGTTCATGCGCATGAAACAAGAAGCGTGTTTAGTACCTATTTAAGAGAAAGGTCAGCAGTTCAATTAAGTTACATAAACTTACTTTGTATAAAGATGATTAGTTCTGCACAGCTATGGTGGCAATTGCCTTCTAAGGTACACAATGTGCATTATCCTGAGTTCCCTCACTATAGGTAAGTACATTTGTGTTTCTTTTATTTGAATGCTACAAAAATTATATATATAGCGAGAGAGAGAGCGAGAGAGAGAGATTTTCTAAGTATTTTTCCGTTAATTTTTTGTACTGGGTGTAAGGCGGTACAAACATAACAAATCGCTTCGTACATCAAATGACCCTGAACTATTCGAACTAAATGAACTATTCGAAAATATAAATCACCTTACGTTTTCCAAGTATATGGCAGGTTTAAAAACAACAAAAATTTTCTGTCTAATCGATCTAAAAACATCTGAAAGCTCTGCGTCGTTGCGAATATGGTACAATTATCACTCACACATAACGTTTACACACAACACGTTACCCATAATAGTGATTTGTATTAATTGCATCCGAAACGTAGGAAGAACATCGCCAAGAAACCCGCAAACATTGAACTTATCGTATTGAGGATTTCGTTCAACAAATCTTGCCCGATCCGCAAAATGTCTGCTAATAGCTAAATGAAAAAATCGCTTAAACACAATAGAACAATATTGAATTCATAATGTACATTCCTTATTTAGAGGATCGAATGTGGGCACTATTTTTTTTCAATTGTTTTTGTTAATTATTTTTTTTGTAGTGATTACTTTTACATAGGGTAACCATCACCGATGAAATTAATAGCACATCCGATTAAATCAATAGATATCCTATATATCTTGACTTTGGCACCTCTTTATATTCTTCTTGCTCTTTTTACGGTTCGAATTATGAAGGCCGTTGAAAGTTGTCGCCGTGGACAAGGTCTCTCTTATGGGTAGAGTAGGCTTAGCATATTGAAAACTCGGTCGTGGCACTGAACGATGTAGATTCTGTAGTTTTGAAATTTATATTTTATAAATTTTATAAATAAAGAGATCAATTATTTCATTCTTAAAAGTACTATTTTTATTTATGTTTCATGCTGTGCTAAATTAATAACAATGTACTCTTTTTCGTTACGACTAAAGCCTCGTAACTTTTGAGGTCCCTACAGCAAGTAGGTAGCATCTATAATACCGTACCGTCAAACGTACCGACAATCGTTTTATCGCTGCTATCATGTACTGGAAGGAACCTAGACCATACGTTTCTATTTAGAATTACAGAATCTGAACGTTTCAACTGTTATATAACATCGGTTGGCTTTTGATGCACGAAAAACCTGCTGGATGTCTTCGGGCCATGCCTACATACTGATTTCAGCAGGTGACTGCTCCTATATTTTTTTGTTGATTTGTTGGTCTATCAGTAATCATTGGCTTGGTATAATACGTAGATCAAACATGCTTGACAATATGAGACCAAGGATTCTCAATTCAATAATGAATTCATTTCGTGAAAGGATTTTCGCTTTTTTACGTGTCTATATACAAATTACTCTAGTTCCACTTCTAGACAGTCAAAGATTAAATATTCTGAGATTAAGTAAGATAAAGTTATAGAGCAAGTAGCACATTTAGACTTAACATGTCGCTCTTACCTTTTAAATATCCCATTTTGATGCTTGATTGAGATATATATATCTCAATATAATATATATATATATATTAATTCATTTAGATTTACTGGGCGAACCAAGAAAGAAACCACATAATCGAAAAGAGACCTGGCCGAGCTGTGAATGAACTCGTGCGAACACGTTGATGTGGCTATTTATTTGGCTCAACTTAGCTTGCTTCAATAGTATGCCTACTTACCTACCAAACTCAAATACTTCGTTTTGCCACAGAGCTATGTTTGGGCACTGGGTTTAATAGAGTTGAACTTGGACACCTGTTAAACTTAGAGATACATGGTGGTCTTGGTTCATATCGCTTATGGAAGCTAGCGGTCTGAGATAATACCTAATCTAGTGGGCGTAAAACATAAAAAGCACTGCAGTTTTGCAACAAGACATAACCATGCTTGGTTACGTGCTGAAAGACGCCGCCCGGTGAAAGCCGCAGTAGCGCCGGATGTAATGCTCGAAAATCACCTAATTCAATGAAGTACATGATCGGTACGTAGTTAGCGAGCGATATATGAATTCACTGAAATATCATTTAACTGCATTGGTAGGACGTTGTATTAAACTGCTTTAGACAGGGCAACCGCGAGTATAACATTCCTCTTAAAGATCGAAAGGAATTTTAATTGGAAACTTGAGACAAGATACTTTGATCACATAATAAGCAAGGTCAACGATTTTTTACTTTTAATAAGTGTTATTATAAGCTTTGCGCTGGGAGCCACACGTCTAAAAAAGAAAACGATGCTTCATAATAGTACTGGATGTGAAACCTCGAAAGCACATTTATTCTACACATGATAGCTAACCTACCTTGAACTTGCTATATGGTACGTAGTTTACATGAAACGTAAAGGTAAATCACATGAACTGATCCTTGGATTACTTCGCATAACAACAACAGAAGTAATGTGTAAAAAAAAATTCATAATAATACTAGTACGACAGTACAAGCTGGCTTGTAACGTCAAATCGTGAACAGATACGGAATAACGTAACGGATTAACGAGCAAATGGTACATAAATCGTTATTAAAAGATACTGTCAAAGCTGATTTAATCGTTCGGTCAGCTAGTTATAACAATCTGCCCACATTCAGTGAAAGCGTAACTTTTGCAAATCTGGTACCTTTTTATTATTTATTATTAATATTAAAATAATGTACTATCTTTATTTTCCAGTTACATTCAAACCAAATAAATGTATATACAATATAGTTAGGCTGAAGTAATAAAGCTTGAAAAAATGTTGGAACACTGAATGTTTCCGATACTGAAATTAATTTCGTAAAATGGAATTACGCTTCTACGACAGACCGCGACCTCGTACTTATCATCAAAGTATCGATAAATCAAGAAAGTGTGATTAATTAATGTCACCCTTCAATCATCCGACAATGACCAACAATCCGCTGCAAAAACAACCTCCTTTCCATCGTCTAGCAGACGCTCAGATGTCCGAACAATTTGAAAACAAAAAAACCCGTATAACAGAAGGTCGTTTCACTTGGACAATGTGGTGTATTGGAAAATGCAATATGGTCACCAAACATCACGCTTTTGACTCACAGCAGCCACTCCTGTTGTATTGAAATCTACTATATTTGTTACACCTTGTGGCGGAGTTCTGCTTTCTGCAATTTTCCGCGTTAATCAAAACATTTTTTGTTGCGACGTTTCATACTGAATAGCTCAAATTAGTTTTATCGCAGTGATCAAATATGCGATGAATTTGACTATATTATTTGTATATGTTTTTCGTTCTAAACTGTTGTACACGCATGGCGCTTCATGGACCTTTAAGCGAAACATTTTATTATACGTAAGTACACATGGATATTGCTTACGCGGGTTGTTATTAGGATTCTTCGTTTACGTTACCCTGTTTATATTGACGATTTTTTTTTATAATAGATAAAATCACATCGCGCGATTTTGTTTGCAGGTAATTCTTGATTTGCATTGTAATGCATTTTGTTTTAAATTAAAAAACAATTCCTAAGGAAACTCAACGACTTCTTTGCTTCAGAAGGTGAAAATGATCAAATCGTCAACTGTATCAAATCGTAGACTGTATATACTAGGATAAGGAGAACGCTTGACGATTTGCAGGCGATCTGAAGGAAGATCATTTTCGCACTGCTACTTTAGCATTTTCAAGTAAGTGATATCTATTGCATTACATGTTTATATGATTCAAAGGTGGTAAATTCTTTACCTGGATTCAAATTATTGCTTGCCTCTAGAGACGTTTTGGGATTCACAGCCATTGATTCGATTAAATTTTTCTCAAATTCATCGCTTAATATCTGAAGGCTTTAAGGGTCACACGGAGTGGCTGTAGCATTTTTTTGCAATTGCTAAACTGCTTTCCTTTCTGTTAGAAACATTTTAATTTCGTTATTTTATCACAGCTGTACAAAGGGAACCTTTAACTGTTACGAAACATCGTAAACTTCACTTTGCCAGACGAGGTTAAACTGAAAAGATATGTAAACTGTAGATGTGAAAGATTCTGCATTTGGAACCTCTCATTCAGCCAACTTGGGCTGGGAAAATTTCTCTTGGGCTACCTACACGGAACTACGCTTTTGCTTCTGTAAGCGAAAACTTACTGACTGCCAAATGTCGCAGACAATGTAGGGAGCAGGGAAATTTGCCAGGTTTGTTAAGCGGTTGGTCAGTTCCGAACTTCAACTATCCCATAGGCCAAGTAACTTCCTGAAGCAGAAAGTGGTGCTCGGCTTGCAGGTCCAAGCCGATACAGTACAGGCCTCGACAAGGCTGATATAGACGCCAAGAGCCGCACCGGCTGAGTCACCCTCTGGCCCGAACTAGGAACTGCCGTGTTCCAACTACCCCAGCAAGTTTCTGCTAACCGAAATGGCAACGAGTATATACGCAGGAAAGCAGCTGTACAAAGTAACATAGACTAGAGATACCTTTCGCATCTATTTCTCAACAACAACAACAATATTTTCTATATTAGTTTGTTCAAGTTTACATCTGACTAGGTTAGTGGTTCCTTGTCCTTCGGTTGACACACATTTACTACGGATGGTTTCTTAATGCATAAAAGTATTCGTGCTGGGGACATGCACACGTGAGAATATCTCACGTGCAGGGGCAAACGTGGATGCTAACTACCTAAATAAAGGAAGCGGTTAAGTCAGCGACGGAGAAAGTCGATCCGGGCGAAAGGTCTAACTCGTTGTGACGCATTTCACATTTCCACTTGAAATAGAAGAATGCCGTTGAAGGAAACGTATATACATTTATAGATATAATACGAACTACAATGGATTTTCACATTTTTTGCGTAAAAAGAATTGTATCCCTTTTCAAATCCAGCAGATCTTCACTAAGTAAAAGTAGTTTATAAAAAAGGAGTAATTGTGTTGTATTCATGAAAGTCATCTTCATTGGCCACGCTAAGTGGCAGCAGTTTTAGAAAACACGTTTGGCGTATGTACGAAAAGCAGAGGCGAACAGAGATGCTGTTTGGTTCTTCCATAATGGTCCGGAATGGGTTCAAGGTCGTTGAAAAGTACTCAGTATAACATGTTAAAAGCGCTCGTACTTCGACAATTTAGTGTTCTTATAATTTGTTTATGCTACTGCGTTGCCATATTTATGAAGGAATCGTCTGACTTGATTAAAATGTCGTTTGTTCGATCGAATCATCTCAAAAAAGATTTGTCTCTCGTGTCCAACTATAATAATTAGGTCTATCGTTGCAATTCAATAATTCCATAATTTAATAATCCAAAAGAACGGTTAAGTATGAAACGCTAGCCTTCGTTCAAGAGCATAATCGGTGTATGCTTCTCAATTAACCGCATACCAAACCTATTATATGGAAGAAACTGTATGAGTGCACATATAAAGGGTGGTGCATTCAAATTAGAAAAAACGTTAGTGGACTGTTGATCGTACTAGGTATGCGTTCATCCACTTTTCCTGGTACTGGACAAAAGCTAGTTGTTTCTAACTAAGACAAAGCAACATACCTGTCAAAACAAACGACAATGTGTCGTTTCCCGAATTCGGGAGAGGATCAACTCTTAGGGAGGGAACTCAACTGTTCTGCACTTCCACCAAAACTGAAGCTTTTCCTTTTTGCTTAAAATAGACAGTCTACGTTATTCCCAGTCTTAATGCGGCTTCTAAAAAGATTCGAAGAAGACTTTCATGAGACAAACTGGACGATCCTCAGTGAAGTTTAGATTTAACGGGCTTAAAGATTGATCAACATGGCTTTTCAAAAAAATCTTTTCGATCCTTCTTTTATTTTTTGGGCGCTTTGAGCCTGTGCATTTTGAAAACATTGACTTCAAATTTAAATCCGCTATTTTTTTTTGTATGTAGCATATTAAAGTAACACGTTAACGAATGTACCACCACCATATCGCTTAGTGCACAGTTAGTACTTTTTTTAAATTTTTAAATTAAAAATTAAAGTTTAAAAAATTTAAATTACTAGTTAGTAATTTACGTTCCAAGTAAAAGCTATAGTCGTGGTGCATGATGGCTATATTAAATAACTAAGAATAATATGACCGACGGGAATAACTTTTAGCAAATATAAAACATTTGGTGAATGTTTCTATTTTCGTTTAAGTACAGGCTTAAAAACAAAGGATAAGAAAAATTAGGATTTCGCTACCTTGTATACATACGGTTGTGAACTTTACACATATATATATTAACCTAAGATCTGCAATTGTTGGTCACTGGTTTCGAATTAGACATAAATAGAAGCACATAAGTTTCTGCATCGCCGTTTGCCATTGAATAGCGGAATACATAGTGAAGGCCACAGCATCACTATGGTGGATACGGTGAAATTTATTGCCGTAAACTTCCGCGATGGGTCGCTTGGCTTCGGCTAGCATCCCGTTATCGTATCTACCCGGACAGCTAATTCCAGGCCTGCTTGTTTTGGAGTGGTAACTTGCCTTACATGAGATATACTTGTCCGTCTGAAGACTGACTATTTGAACGTGGTTTCCAGACGTTATCTTTCGGATCACGTAGTGCTCCTCGTCAAACAGCAGTTGCGGCGAGGCTAGAGGCTAGAGGTAACACGACGCACCGTACAGCCTTCATTTTTCGATGCTTTTGTACCATCACTTCGTTGTTGTTCCACGATACGGACCCTATGAACGAGCTGATTTAAAAATGACTTTTGTTTCATGCAGCTACTCCTGCTCCAGATGAGCTCCGGCCTATTGCACACAACGAAGAAGCTTCTACGTTGTTTTCGGAACACACGCTTCCCGCATCAGCTTACTCCCGAACAACACGCTCATCTACTAGCCTCTAATGATTACTAGGAAAAGTACTCCTGTTGAAGCTTGTCAGCTTGAAAGCCTGTAGCAACCTTGGTTAGTGGAAGTAAGGTGAATTACTATAACCGTCTGTAAAATATATAAAATTCAGACAGTCGAATAGGGATCAATCAGTTTTCACAAACGGTGTAACGTTGTTTTCTCTCGGCGGCCGATATACAATATACAAAAAAAGCCGAGAGGAGCGTTGTGAGTCTGTGAATTGTCGACAGTAGACGAACTCGGCTTTCCTGGAGCATCGCAAGCTATCCAGCTCAAAGCTAGCTACATTTCGTTATCAGCGCATACAATCATGCTTTGCCCTCTCTAGGCTGACCTTTGGCTCCAAGCAAACGATGCCTGTCTTGTTCTTTGAAGTAAGAGTTCTCTGTCAACTTCGTCATCCAATAACCATAGCAGGGCGGGGGGGGGGGGGGTCAACTTCGTTAACATCGACTGAAACTCTCTAATTATCTTTATTTTTTGCAGACAAAGTAACACGTCTCCGTTGGTTTCTGTGCCAGCTGTGATGTGAGCCTGTGATAGCTAAATGTTTCTGCATGTAGTTTACGTCAGTTCCTCATGAATCTTTGACCATGTAAGCTATAAAGTGCTACTCTAGAATTCAAACTACGTTTAAAAATTCTGGATTAGTACAATGTTTACCAAACTGCCAGAGAGTTTGCTGCCAAGTTAAAGAAAATGTCGTAAATCTTTAGGCTTACTACTACTATATGCGATATTGCTACACAATCTCAGTCTGGCTTCCCTACGATTTAAAGTCACCAAAGTAACTAACTAAGGTTGTAGTAGGCTGTTAATTTTATAAATCAATCGTGCAATATTAACAAAATGCGGCTATCTCTCCTAATGGCGCAATAATGACATGTTACGCTACTAAGCTTCAGGGCACATAGGATGATCGTAAGCGTACGTCTTTCCGAATTAGAAGCCAGCCATCTAAACAATACCCGACGTAAAACTTAAAACATTTCTAGAATCCACTTCTTTACTATTGTGAAATAGCGGTATCATCATCCGGTATAATCAAATATAGTCCCGTAAATCTTTAATGCATTCACTATGACCGCTTAAACGGTCGCACATGGAGTCAAGCAACTAACCCTCCAATTACAGAGGTCTATATTATTTTCAATCAAACGGAATGTTTCGCTACTATAGAAGCTCTGCTAAGTCTGCTAGGTCCTCGCATATGATACCCTAAAATTTATTCATTAGGTTGGACTGTGATTTCTAATCTGTTTTTATAGGTAGTATCCTCAACTACTGATGTCCTTTTTACAAATGTTTCAACCTCCAAACCATCGGTAAATGCCGAATTTCAGTAGTTCTGTTATACGCGACCGTAGAGGGTACTTCAGGCCCCTCACGATGTGCATTTAGAGTGCGACTACCCGTTCGCGAACCTTAAAGCTTCCTTTAACTTCGAATCGTTTGCCAGTAGTCGACCAATTCCAAAGACCCTCAGGTCCGACCAGAAACAGGACGACAGTGAACACGTTAGCATAGTCCCCCCACGACGTCCACCATATTCACGCGATATTCAGACGATTCGAAAAGCTCATCAATATCTAGAGTCTCAAAGTGGACCACGAATTTCGCACGCTCAAATTCGCTCGGGTTCGATTGATTGATTGATTCAGCTACTATGTACTTCACCGTCGTGATGCATGCACACATCCTTCTGAGGTAGATAAGCCTCATCAAGGGACTCAGACGGCTGTTTGTGCTACCTTCGAATGACTGCAGTCGGCATTTCATCGTAGCTCTGTTTTCATTACCACCAACGAACCGGCATCGACCGGTGTA